TCAGATCATGATTTTTGGACTTTCCAATACACATTCGGTGAAAATCATACCTCAAATTGTGAATTTTAACCTTCTCCTAGGGAGTTTCAGCTTCAGCATCAATCCTTCCAATGAACACCCAGGACTTATCTCCTTCAGGATGGACTGGTTGGATCTCCTTGCAGTCCAAGGGACTCTCAAGAGTCTTCTCCAGCACCACAGTCCAAAAGCATCAATTTTTCAGTGCTCAGCTTTCTTCACAGTCCAACTCTCACATCCATACATGACCACTGGAAAACCCATAGCCTTGACCAGATGGACCTTTGTTGGCAAAGTAATGTCTCTGCTTTTTAATATGCTATCTAGGTTGGTCATAACTTTCCTTCCAAGGAGTAAGCATCTTTTAATTTCATGGCTGCAGTCACCATCTGGGTGTTCATTGGAAGGACTGATGCTAAAGCTGAAACTTCAGTACTTTGGCCACCTCATGCGAAGAGTTGACTCATTGGAAAAGACCCTGATGCTGGGAGGGATTGGGGGCAGGAGGAGAAGGGGACGACAGAGGAGGAGATGGCTGGATGGCATCACTGACTCAATGGGCATGAGTTTGAGTAAACTCTGGGAGTTTGTGATGGACAGGGAGGCCTGGCGTGCTGCGATTCATGGGGTCGCAAAGAGTCAGACATGACTGAGTGACTGGACTGAACTGAACTGAGGCTGGTGGCATGCAGTCAAGTCCTCTCTCTGATGCTGGACAGTGGTGGCCACAGCCCCATCAGCAGCCCCACCATCATGAGGGTGAACAACCCATGCTGGACCCAGATGGCCATCCTGTTTTTTACTTTTAGTACAGTATTCAGTAAATCACAAGAAATATTCAGCACTTTGTTATAAAATAGGCTTTGTATCTATTATAAAATAGGTGATTTTGCCCACTGTAGGTGAACGTGAGTATTCCAAGCACAGTTAAGGTGGGTGGGGCTCAGCTGTGATGTTTGGGAAGTTCAATGTATTAAACACATTTCAACTTAATGATATTTTCAACTTATGGTGGGTTTACTGAAATGTAATCCTGTTGTAAGTTAAGGAAGATCTATATATATTTAGGCTTTCCTTTAAGTGTATTTACTTACTTATTCATTTGGCTGAGCTGGGTCTTTGTTGCTGTTTTGTAGGCTTTCTCTAGTTGCGGTGGGCAGGGCCTCCGCGCTAGTTTCGGTGCACAGGCTTCTCTTTGTGGTGGCTTCTCTTGTTGTGGAGCACAGGCTCTAGGCCCACAGGCTTCAGTAATTGTGGCCTGTGGGCTTAGTTGCCCTGTGCCTTGTAGGATCTTCCTGGACCAGGGGTCGAGCCTGAGTCCCCTGCACTGGCAGGAGGATTGTTAACCACTGGACCACCAGAGAAGTCCAGATCTGTATATTTAAAAAGTGAAACTTCACAATATACCAGAATTTATACCCCTTGCATATTTAAACTTGGGTTGAAAAACGTAGAAATCGACTTATAATTTGTCTGGCGATACGTGATTTTTTTGTTGTTTAATATTTTTGATGTGGAGCATTTTTTAAGTCTTTATTGAATTTGTTACAACATTGTTTCTGGCTTATGTTTTGTTTTTTCAACCATGAGTCATGTGGGATCTTAATTCCTTGATCAGGGATTGAACCTGCACCCCCTTCATTGGAAGGTGAAGTCTTAGCCACCGGATCACCAGGGAAGTCTTGTGATATATATCGTTGTGAAAATATTTTCAAAGGGTAGGCACAAGCTGGTGCTCTTGGGGGCTGCTGAGTTGATGCTTTCCCCCCTTGCCAGTCTGCAGGCCTTGTGGGGAGCTGGGGAGGGTGTGAGCTGAATGGGCAGCAGGGTTTCTTCTGCAGGGGGTGGGGCTGGTAAGCCCACTGTCATCGAAGGGCCCCCTAAGTTAGCATACGTGACTGATGTGTTATTAAAGCATTTAGGCTCAGGTGGCCCAGAGGTGGTGGGCGAGAGGCAGGAATGCCTAAACAGATTGTGGCCACTGTGTGCTCTCATGGGGGGTGGGTAGGTGGGGGGCCTGAACTGCAACTGCGGATGCTCCTTAGAACAGGTTCTGGCCCACATCCAGGCACTGGGGACAGACTGACAATCTAGGCCAGTGGCCAGCAGCAGGGGGGGATGGTCAACTGCAACCAGGAGCCCCAGGCGGGTATGGGCGGCCATTCCAGGTGGGGGTGCGCACTTGTAGCAGCCAGTCCAAGAGAAAGGTGTGGCTCATAGGGCCTCTGTGGATGGACGTCCTTGACCAGAGATTCAGGGGCTGGACTGTGACTGCAGGTGTTAAATGGATTCCTGAGTGGAGGGCTGTGTTCACACAAAGGCTTGTAGGGAAAGTGCAGGGCCAGAGATTGCACACCTACTGCTGTCAGCAGGTGCACAGGTGAGCGGACAAACTGGAGATGATGCTCCCATCAGAGGCTGGACGGCGGCCGGGCTGGGCCCACAGATGGATACCACGTGAACCTCTTTATTTGAACCTTTAGAAAAGGAAGATTGATCCAGTGCCTGAATGCCCAGAGGTGCTGGCAGGAGTGGGGAAGCATTGACTGGGAGGCAGGGCATTGATGGGGAAGGGGGCATTGATGGAGAAGGGGGCATCAGGCCTCGGCTCCTTCCTTGTCCTCCTAGCGTCCCGCCACATGGCCGCAGACTTCACCCCCCCCCACGCCCCCACGCAGCCACGTGGGACCCAAGGGCAGATGCAGGGCACCTTCTAGAGTCATGTGGCCTGGTCTCCCACACAGGAGTGGGGCCCCTTGTGCCCTGCAGAGCCTGGCATGGCCCACCCTGGAGGCCTCCTGAGCCTGCTCCACCCTCACCCCAGAGTGTGGGCACCTCTCTGGAGGACCCAGAGTGGCGGCCAGCGGCTGCCAGACTGTCACATGCCCAGCTCTGTTTCTGTCCACAGGGGGATTTGATTTCAGGGCAGCTCGCAGAACAAGTACAGCCATGAAATGTGACCTTCTGGCTTCACGTTTGAAACCAAGAAACCAAACTGGTGAAGGGAAGCAAGGGAGAAGCTGACTGGGTCCCTGGGGGGTCACCCCTTCCACCTTAGACCAAAACGAAAGCTTTCAGCTAAAAAAGCCACAATAGCTTGTGAGTTAAAAGGCATTAGTTGAATGTTTTATAGTGATTTCACGTGTAGTGTTGATTTTTTAAATAAGATGCTAAAACAAGAAAAGAAAAATTACCCATCATGCCTTTACCTAGACATAACATGCTGTGCTGTGCTATGGTCAGCCGTTTCAGCCATGTCCAGCTCTTTGTGACCTCATGGACCATAGCCTGCGAGGCTTCTCTGTCCGTGGAATTCTCCAGGCAAGAATAACTGGAGTGAGTTGCCATTTCCTCCTCCAGGGGTTGCTGACCCAGGGATTGAACCTATGTCTCTTACATCTCCTGTGTTGGCAGGCGGGTTCTTTACCACTAGTGCCACCTGGGAAGCTAATCACTATTGATATTTGTATGCATTTTTCTAGTCTTTTCTTTCTTGTATATATGAGGGTATGTGCATAGTGTGTATGTATGTGGTATGTGCATATGGTGTGTGCATGGTATGTGTGTGAGGTGTGTGTGTATATGTGCTGTGTGCATGGTATGTGTGTGGTGTGTGTGTACATGCTGTATGTGTATTTGGTATGTGTGGTGTGTGTGTACGTGGCGTGTGGTGTGTGTGTATGGTGTGTGTGGTATTTGTGTGCATGGTATGTGTGTGTACATGGTGTGGTATGTGCATGGTGTGTGTGTGGTGTGTGTGTGTACATGATGTGTGTGTGTGGTGTGTGTGTGTGTAGTGTGTATGGTGTGTGTGTACGTGATATTTGTGTGTGTGTGTGTGCATGGTGTGTGTGTGTATGTACATGGCATGTGTGTGTACATGGTGTGTGTATATGTGGTATGTGCATGGTGTACATGGTATGTATGTGGACGTGGTGTGTGTGTGTACGTGGTGTGTGTGTATTTGGTATGTGTGGTGTATGTGTACGTGGTGTGTGGTGTGTTTGTGTATATGGTGTGTGTGGTGTGTGGGTGTGTACATGGTGTGTGTACGTGGTATTTGTGTGTGCACATGGTGTGTGTGTATGTGCATGGTGTGTGTGTATATGTACATGGCATGTGTGTACATGGTGTGTGTATATGTGGTATGTGCATGGTGTACATGGTGTGTATGTGTACGTGGTATGTGTGTGTGTATGTGGTGTGTGTACCTGGTGTTGGTGTGTGTGTACATGGTGTGTGTATATGTGGTATGTGCATGGTGTACATGGTGTATGTGTGTGTGTGTGTACATGGTGTGTGTACATGGTGTGTGTGTGTACATGGTGTGTGTGTATTTGGTATGTGTGGTGTGTGTGTATGGTGTGTGTGGTGTTTGTGTGTGTGCATGGCATGTGTGTGTACATGGTGTGGTATGTGTATGTGCATATGTGGTATGTGTGGTGTGTGTGTGTGTGCATGATGTGTGTGTGTGGTGTGTGTGTGTAGTGTGTACATGATGTGTGTGTACATGGTGTTTGTGTGTGTACATGGTGTGTGTGTATGTGCATGGTGTGTGTGTGTACGTGGTATGTGTATATGTGGTATATGCGTGGTGTGTGTGGTGTGTGTATGTACGTGGTGTGTGTATATGTGGTGTGTGCATGGTGTATGTGTGGTGTGTGTGTGTACATGAGGTGTGTGTGTGTGCATGGTGTGTGTACCTGGTGTTGGGGTGTGTGTGTATGTGGAGTGCGTGATGCCTGTGTGAACCATGTATCAGCTCCCCCTCCGCCCCGCACGCCCATCCGTCACTCTCAGGAGGGAAGGGCCTGAGGGTGCTGTGGGAGCTGCGGATCTGGGCTCCGGCAGGACCACTGTGGACCCCTTCTCCACTCGCCGCCCCTCACCCTGGGGTCCCTGCGCCCTCCTGACCGCTGCCCTGTCTTTGCAGGACGGCCATTCTCAGTGAAGGACCCTGCACTCGCTACTGAGCTGTGGCCATGGGCCTGCTCGCCTTCCTGAAGACCCAGTTCGTCGTGCACCTCCTCATCGGCTTCGTCTTCGTGGTGAGCGGGCTGGTCATCAACTCCATCCAGCTCTGCACGCTGGTCCTCTGGCCCGTGAACAAGCAGCTGTATCGCCGGCTGAACTGCCGCCTCGCCTACTCGCTCTGGAGCCGTGAGTACTGCCTGCACTGGGCGTGGCATGGCGGGGGAGGGGTCTGACGACAATCAGGACAGCCAGCTTTCTGCTGGACAGCCCCAAATAAACCATTGCAGGGGCCCATGGGGGTTAACCCTTGTGACGATGAGCCAGGATGGCCAGGGGCTCCACAGCCGGGAACTAGGGGGCCTGTCCTGGCCGTGAGGAATATATAGGGTGCTCAGCCTGAGCTCTTCACTGGGCTGAACCACGCAGTGTCCCAATTCCCGAGCCTCTGGACCCACAGAGATGGTGGTTCCATGTGGTTTCACACGGTACTCTGGATACCTGAAAACAAGCAGTCATACTGTCAGTGCACTATGACTAGGCCTGACGCTTGCCGGCACGTGGCCGGTCACGAGCCTGCAGATCCCAGCACTGGGCACTCCCCTCGAGTGGCCTGTTATCACATGTAAATACTTCAGCATCTCTCTCTGAAGGAAAGGGACCTACCTGTCTCTTAATTAAATGTTTAGGCATGCACAGGTGTTACCTGTGTGCACTTGTGATGTGCGTGTCTTTGTGTGTGTAGAGTCACCCTCACCTGTCAGAGACTAGGAAGCTTGGTGACAACACCCACCGCTGGCCAGGGGAACACACTGCGGGTTAGGGTTCCCAGGCACTTCTTTGGACCCGTAACAATCAGCAACTTAAACAGTTCTATTTTTTGACCCTAATTATTCCACCAAATAAGAAGGTAACCTAGAAAGACATCTATAAAAGTACGTATATGCACAGATATATTCATTTTGCCAGTTTTATATTAACTAATATAAAAATGAGCAGCCAAAATGCCCACTAACTGTCGTGTGTCCACTGGATGGAGGCCCATACGGCCACTAAGACCAGCAGGCGATCTCTCTTTCCTGGTATAGAGAACCAAGTTCAAGATACATTTTTAGGTGAAAACAGAAGCTAAAAAACAAAGTATAGAGGTGCTACCATGATTTACTTTTAAAGACACGTGTGATGTGTCTGCACTGGTGTGTGGCCGTCCCTCCTTAGAAAATGTGGAAGGCAGAACAGAAAATGTGGCTGTCCCAGGAGTGGGGATGGGAGGGACTCTTGCTACTTTTTCCATACTGTGTGCAATTTACTTAGCATAAGAACACCTTTCTTTAACAATGAAGAGAAGGTAGTACACATTTTATGTCCTATGGGAAGCGATGAGTCTGTCCCCGAGATGTCCCCCTCCCCAATGTAGGAGGCCAACTGAGCAGGTAGTGAGGTGTCCAAGCCCAGGTATGCGTGCCCCCAAGAGGGGACAGCAGCCCCACCCATGCTTCTAGCCATAAACATGCGAAAGTTTCAGTTCCCAGCTGCTTTTTTCCTAAATAAAAGGCCACCTTCATGTGTGTGAGAAGGAGAATTAGAAATACTACCATGCAGAACACGCAGGTGAGTTATTCACGCGCGTCACCAGGCAGATGAGTGCATGCCTGAAGCGCAAATGCTGACTTGTGAAAATCACAGCCTCCACTGGCAGTAGTGTTCTGAAGTTAAAGCACTTCTGCACAGCCAGACTCTGAGTAAAGCTGGCTTTTTAAGGCCGTAAATAAAGGAAATCCCTCAGCCACACCCCCACCTCTCCGCAGAAGAGGGCACTAAGAGGGGTATCAGCACCGCTTCCCAGGGCCCCGCCTTGGCAGCTCCAGGAGACGGGCTGGGTCTCAGCCAGGACCTTGGAAGTTGCAGAGGCAAACAGAAATGTGCTCTTGGCCTGAGTTAGTCTCTAATTCAGTAGAATCACATAGATTGAAACAAGTCTTACATGAACTCAGAAACAATAAATATACAAGGGAAGATTCAGATAAAAGACTATCCAAAATACCCAGATTTGAAGAAGAACCAAGGAGCACTTCTATGCATAAAAATTGTAGTTATAATAATTTTTTTAAGTAAAGACTTAGTGAATCTTACATCAGATTAGACACAGCTAGTGAGCGAATGGGTGAACTGGACAATAATATGAAGAGCTCACCCCGACTGCCAGTAAAGTGACAAGATGAAAAATATGAAACAGGAGCTAAAGGAGGTAAGGAGAGCATGCAGGTCTATGAGATGGGTGTTGGATTCCTGTCCCTGAGGAGTGAATAAGGAGAAGCACTGTTGGAAGAGGTGGTGGCTAAGAATTTTCCTGAAGGGAAAATTCAATGGTAAGGACTCACCACTTTTAACTACTGTGCCCCAGGTTCAATCCCTGGTCGAGGAAATAGATTTTGCAAGCCCCACGGCACAGCTGAAAATAAAATATTGTCCAAATTGACCATGAGCAGAATCATGTCGTCAGTCCTGTCTGCGTATGTAGTCATCTGCCATCCACGGGGAGACGATGTATCTCGAAATGGGCCAAGCCGCCCTCAGGCCATGCTGGCCATTGGTGGGACAGAGCATCCTCAACACGCCGCCTTTCCACAGGTGGCTCTGCTAGACCCACTCTCCAGGGAGCTCGGAACATCTGCAGAGGGCTGCCTGTGTCTGTCTGTCTGTGTCTGTCTGGTTCCTCCTCACAGGCCCCCACCGGGGCCAGACCTCTGGTGCTGGGTCCTGAGGCTGCCCGGTGAGGGTGTGCACTCACCATGGCTCTGTTCACAGTAGCCGTGATGTGGAGATGGTGTCCATGTCCATCAACAGACCAACGGACAAGCAAAATGCCATCCACATGGACAATGGAGTACTACTTAAGAGGAAGGAAATCCTGCTGTTTGTGACAATATGGATGAACCTGGAGGGCCTGACACGGAGGGAAACCAGGCAGTCACAGAGGGACCAATGCTGCCTGATTCCTCCTCTGAGGGATCCACATGACCAAGCTCAGGGAAGCGGAGCAGAGAACGGTGGTGGCCAGGGCTGGGGGAGGGGAAGTGGCGAGCTGCAGTCAGATGGGTGTGAAGTGTCCGTTACCCAAGAGGAGTGAGTTCTAGAGCCCGCTTAGGGCCTGGAGCCCACAGTTAACAGGACCGCGCTGTGCACTTGGACATTTGTGCAGAAGGAGGCCTCAGGTTGAATGTCCTTACCGTGATAAGGAAGGATACCTCCTCGTTCCCAAGCAAACTGCTCTAGAGGCAGCAACCTTAGCCACCGGCTCTTACTTGACCAGCTGACACATGGAGGCTTCCCCGAAGGAAGCTGAGGAGGCGCAGGAGCAGGCCGTCACCAGGCTGTGGTCATGGGTCTGTCCCAGCCCCGGGGCCCTGCCGCCTGGGGTGGGGGTGGGGGTGGGGGTGTTGGCAAGTCCCCAGCAGCCACCCTTTCAGATGGACAGGTCAGCCTAGCCTTGGGCCTCTTTTTTCTTAAACAGCTATAAGGAGGTGAAATTCACCCACTTAGAGCGTGGAGTGGTCCTCCCTATGTTTCCCCCTGCCATCTCTCCCCTACCGAGCCCCACAGTCACTGATATACTTCCTGTCCACATGGCTTTGCCTGTTTTGTGTGGTTCACGTGATGGAATCATGCACTGCGTGGTCGTTGTCTGACTCCCCACACTCAGAGCTCCATGTTTCCCAGGTTCATCTGTGTCTTGCTGTGTATCAGGCCCACGTTCCCACTTTGGCTGAACGACACTACCCTGTATGGATGTCCACTGGCCATTCCTTCATCAGTTGTCACCCTTCTGGGCTGTTTCCACTCTCTGGCTTTGTGAATAACACTGCCACAAACATCCATGTTCAAGTTTCTACACCGACATCTGCTCTCGTTTCTACTGGGCATCTCCCTGGTGGTGGAATTGCTGGGTCATCTGGTTACTCTGTTTGGAGCATAGTTGCAACTGCCCTTTCTACAGCCCCACCTGCAGCATTGGGCGTCCCAGGCCCTCTGATCCTCACTGGCACATGCTATTTGTCATCCATCTGTTGGATGACAGCCGTCCTGTGAGTGTGATGCAGTGCCTGGCTGTGGCTTTGGCCTACACTTTCCTGATGACTGAGATGCCAAGCATCTTCTCATGTTGACCATCTGTAAATCATCCTTGAACAATGTCTGTTGAGGACCTCTTGTCTTTCCATTCCTTGGACCTTTATTCACAACTTGAATGTTGGATGGAAGTGGCCAGGCTATCCCAGGGGCATAGTTGCCCCCGTTGATGGGCCTCCATCTCCTCAGGGCCCTGGTCCCTTGATGGAGCTTATGGCGAGTGTGTCCTGGAGCTGACCCTTTCATGGCCCCTCCTCTCCGTAGTTTGAGAGTATTCAGGTGTCGTCTCAGAACAGGCCTTCCATCCTGTCCCACCTTGTGTAAAAGAGGAATTTGAGATCCCAGCACGTGGGGGGAGCTGTGTGTCTCCCCACTTCTGTCTGGGCTAGTGGGGATCCTCATTGGGAAGGAGAAGCCGGCCCCTGTGCCAAGTCCCATCCAGTCTCCCGGCAGCCTCTCAGGAATCCACAGTTGTCCCCTGCCAACAGGGAAGCAGTCCGGGAGCCCACTGTCTTAAGTGCTGGCCTGTCCTGCCTCATCAGCCTTCCCAGGGCTGTTCCTCTCTGAAAACTGATGGGTTGGTGTCCAGCACGCAAAGGACAGGCCCTCTGAAATCCGTCCTGAGGCTGGGAGCTGCACTTCCTGGCCTGAGGCCACCCTTCTCAGGACGCCTGGCCATGGTGGGTGTGACACAGCCTGGCTGGGTGCCCACCGCCTCCCCAGCCTCCTCGTCTGGGGACAGAATGTGTGTTGCCCCATGGTCCAGAGCACGTGTGAAGACCATAGTCATACGTGATGATACAGGTGTCCACCTCAACTCTTTGTAAAGAGTAGTGTGGATAAGAGTAACAGTGCTTAACACATGTCAACCAAAGACCCCCCCCAGAGGGGGGACCCCAGTTTTATTCACTTATTTCTGTATTTTTGAGCTTCCTCTGAAACTTTCCACAGAGCCCTGGACTTAGTTTTGGGGGGCTGAGATTGGAACTCCACCACTTTTTCTCTGAGCTTTGGGAATAATAATAACAATAACTCAAGTTGTCTGCTAGAATCTGATGTCATTTACAAGCAGGGTGCCTGGTATACTGTTGGTATTCAATACCTGTAATAAAATAATAATATAATTATGAGGCTGTATTCTCTTAATAAGTGAATGTCTTGTTCACCATCTCATCTGATGGGTTATTTGATTTTTAAGAAAAGTGAAGATCTGATTTTTAAGAAAAAAATATTTTAAATTAAGTCCTTTAGATACGTTAATTACAAAAAAAAAAAAAAATCCACCTAAAATGGGTTTCCTCTTCCATTTCTTCTGTTTTTTTTTTTTTTTTTTTTGGCCGCACTGGGTCCTCACTGTGGCACACGGGCTTCGTCTAGTTGCTATGTGCCAGGGCTGTGTCCTCTGCATTGCACGGTGGATTTTTAACCACTAGACCACCGGGGAAATCCCCCATTTTTTCTGCTTCCGTTTGACTTCTCCCCTGATGTTTGCTTAGAGAGGTAATTATAAGTTTAGAAAACTAAGTTTATTACACACAAACCTTCAGAACTCATTTCCAGCAGAAAGTCCCAATCTGGCTGACACCGCACAAGCCCCAACCCCGTCAGGGAGCAGGGATGGAGGGCGGGCCGGAGTGCGGCTCTCTGCACCTGGCCGACGCCCCCACGTGTGTCCGCAGAGCTGGTGATGCTGCTGGAGTGGTGGTCGTGCACGGAGTGCACCCTGTTCACCGACCAGGCCACGGTGGACAGCTTTGGGAAGGAGCATGTAGTCATCATCCTCAACCACAACTTTGAAATCGACTTCCTCTGTGGGTGGACCATGTGCGAACGCTTCGGCGTGCTGGGGGTGAGCCACGTAGGGGTCCCAGGAGGGCGTGGGGTGAGCGACATGGGGTCCCAAGGAGGGGCTGGCATGGCTCCCTGGAGGGTCTGGAGTCTCTAAGGGCTCTGGGTTTTCATTTGCTCTGTGTTTAGCCCCTGGTCCCTCTGAGCTAGGCATGTAAGCATGGCTAACCACATGGGTTCTGGGACTGCAGGCTGCCCCAGGGATCCCTCCTGAGATCAGGTGTTACTGCCTTTCCTTTGCAATCCTCCCCCGTCAGCTCAGCTGCCTCAGATGAGAAAGGCTGAGGGGTCCCCTGCAGGGAAGCCCAGTGGGTGGTGGCCCTGGCATCATCCTCAGCAAGCCCCCAGCCTAGCAGCCAGAGAAGCCCCGAAGGCCCAGTACACCCTCTAGGCTCCCCTCCTGCCCGCATGCCTGCCTACCAGCATTGGCCAGATCTGCCCATGGATTCTCATCTAGTGACACCCGCACTCTGGGGCCCTGCCCATCCCAGTGGCATCATGCTCAGTGTCAGGGTCTCCTGATGACAGCCAGTCCTGAGGGCTGCCTGCAGGGTGCTGCCCGTGGGGACTTCATGGCCATGATGCACCAGCTGCTCCCCCTCCCTTCAGAGTTCCAAAGTCCTGGCGAAAAGGGAGCTGCTCTACGTGCCCCTCATCGGCTGGACGTGGTACTTCCTGGAGATTGTGTTCTGCAAACGGAAGTGGGAGGAAGACCGGGACACTGTCATCAAAGGCCTGAAGTCCTTGGCTGACTACCCTGAATACATGTGGGTGAGTGAGGCGGCGGGGTAAGGCCACACAAGCTGTGTTACTTTGGGCATCAGGAAAGCAGCCCAGATTATTAGTTGTAAAGCCAGCAAGAGCCTCTGAGCTCCAGGGAGGCTGTTTGAGTAGGGCCACGGCCCTGCCCCATGCAACTGCAGGCTTGGGAACCCCTCTTAGGCCACCTGCTCCCACCTGCCCCAGGTGGGCCCCACACACCTGGGTCCACACAGAGGAGATCCTGCTGGGCTGAGTTTGGAGCACCCCTGGAATGTTAGCAGAGAGTCTGCCCAGGCTGTTCTGTGGAGTCAGGTGTCAGGACAAGCCCTCATGAGCACAGTTCTGTGGGTCAATGTGGACTTCAATTCCTAGAAGGTTTGCACTGCACTTAAAGCAGTCACCCTTCAAGGGCAGAGCAGGGCCTGGGGGTCCTTTCTGAGCCCCTTGGTTGGAGTTTGATGGACAGACATCTGAAATGATTGATGTCTATCAGTTTGAAATCAGTTTTTTCTGATTCTTCTTTCTGGTCTCTGACGGCAATTCTTTGTGAACCAGCTGTTTATGTATTTGGTGTCTGTGACTCACATTGAGGCAGAGGGATGGAAGATTTTGTTTTCCACAAGCCATCCGGAGGCTGGTGCCTAGGGACACCGAGTCTGACTTCTCTCCAGGAAGTGTCTTTTCGCTCCCTGGGAATAGGCGCAGTGCTGCCACCGCCTGTGAGGAGTCACGTACGGAATGTGACAGCAGCATCTCTAACCGGCCTTTGTCCCCCACCGCGTCCTAGTTCCTCCTATACTGTGAGGGCACACGCTTCACGGAGAAGAAGCACCGCGTCAGCATGGAGGTGGCCGCCTCCAAGGGGCTGCCTGTCCTCAAGTACCACCTGCTGCCTCGGACCAAGGGCTTCACCACCGCGGTCCAGTGCCTCCGTGGGACAGGTAAGAGCTGCCCGCCCCGACCACCACCACCCCAGACTCCCAGCAAAGTGAGAGGTGAAATCAGTGATTTGCCAGAAACCAGATCAGTGAGTTCTGTGTAAAATACACAATGCCAGTGGCATTAAAAGGAGATCTGAGTTCATGGATTCACATGTAAGATTCTTGTGTCATTTTTTGAGGTGAAAAATACTAGTTAATGGAAAGCAACTAAAGTGATCATTTTAAAAAAGTATATAACTGAAAACCTTATAAAGGAAAAAATATATATCCAGTTAATCCAAAAGGACGGCAAAATCAAAGAAAGGGACAAAGCGCAGGCTAGATAGGAAACAGCCAGACAGTAGCTTTAAACACAAGTGACTCAACTAAATGCCCCAATAAGAGATGGGAACCCTCACAACGGGCATCCAGGTGAAGAGCCGCGGCGGGCCAAGCTGCCGGATGTCACCTGTCACCCTCTGCGCCCTCCCTGCAGTCGCAGCTGTGTACGACGTCACGCTGAATTTCCGAGGAAACAAGAACCCGTCTTTGCTGGGGATCCTCTACGGGAAGAAGTACGAGGCGGACATGTGCGTCAGGTGAGCTGCTGCCCACGGGGGCGGGGCCGGCAGGGGGCGGGACCGGACCAAGCCCGCGCGCACCTTCCGCGCGGCTCCTCCGCTCTCCCGGACGCCCCCACGTGGAGGTGCTGGGGCATTCCACCCTCCAGGACCCGCACACGGTGGGGACCGTACAGAGCAAAGGAGGCAGCGCGAGGTGCTGCAGAAGGTTCCAGAAGCTCCAAGGGAGGCGTGACCCCGCCCGCTGGAGGGAGCAGAGGCGTTGGGGAAGAGGCTTTAGAGAGCTAAAGCCTGGGCAGTGAGTAGGCTTTTCACAGGCAGGAGAAGGACAAGCTGTCCCATCCTAAGCGGCCTGCTCATGTGGTCCCCTTTTCATGGTGTACAGCCATCTAGCCCACCTGGGAGTGATGGTGGGGTCAGGGCCATGTCCTCCGCCTACCTCTCCTGGCGACCGCGGGCTGAGTCGGCAGGTTGTATCCTAGCCAGCCTGAAGCCCCTTGGCTTAGAGGCAGCCCAAACCGAGACATATCAAGCTGGCTTCTTGGGATGGTGGGATCCATGTCTGTGACAAAAGTTCAAAGTTGGGGACTTGAGTTGTGTCCCAAGGTCATTCCTGTCTCACAGCCACACTCTGACCTCCACATTTCTCTGCCCCAGGAAAAGAAGATAAACCACCCAAAAAGTCTGGTGGGGGTGGGGGGAAGGTTGACACAGCAGTGGCCACCAGGGGCTGATGATTTTTCTGGGGCCGTGGCAGGTCCCAGTCCTCCTCAGGGAGCCCTCAAGGCAGATCTTGGTCTAGCCCCTGGCTAGTAAGGGGCTCTGGGCGTCCCAGGTGCCCATGGTCAGAGCCGGCAGGTGGTAAAGTGGTTGGTGGAGGGGGCACCTACCTGGTCCAGCTCCAGGCTGGTGCTCACACCTGCCCCCAGGCTGCACCGCCCTCTGCGTGGACATTCAGCTGCAGTGGGAGAGGACTGGTGCTGTAATCTGCTCTTTTTCTCCTTTGTTGCAGAAAATGGGCTGTATTCTGTATCTTAATAGATATATTCTTAGAATTTTGGAAGGTTTCAACTTGCTGCTTTGTATTATGTACCATTTGGGTGTTTTGGCCAAAAGCAATATTCCAGTGACTCCATCACGTACCTGTAATCAAACAGTCAAGGTTCACATGACCCATTGGAGTTTTCCTTCACTTTCCTGTCCCCTACTGAAAAAGATGCCCCAAGGGCCTGTGGTTAGGCAGGGCCAGGGCCATGGGGATGGTGGCTTGAGGCTCTCCTGTGTCCATGCTGGCCATTGGGGCCAGCATCCCCAAAGTGGCTTGAGTTGACTCTAGGAGATAGTATTCATATTTGTATTTATCTCATCATTTAAAATTCTTATATATATATTTTTTGTTTTACTCTGTCTAATCATATAGTATTGTGTTTTTTTTTGTTTTTTTTTTAATTTTTTTCCATTTATTTTTATTAGTTGGAGGCTAATTACTTTACATCATTGCAGTGGTTTTTGTCATACATTGAAATGAATTAGCCATGGATTTACATGTATTCCCCATCCCGGTCCCCCCTCCCAACCTCCCTCTCCACCTGATCCCTCTGGGTCTTCCCAGTGCACCAGGCCCGAGCACTTGTCTCATGCACCCAACCTGGGCTGGTGATCTGTTTCACCCTAGATAATATACATGTTTCGATGCTGTTCTCTTGAAACATCCCACCCTCGCCTTCTCCCAGAGTCCACAAGCCTGTTCTATACATCGGAGTCTCTTTTTCTGTTTTGCATATAGGGTTATCGTTACCATCTTTCTAAATTCCATATATATGTGTTAGTATACTGTAATGGTCTTTATCTTTCTGGCTTACTTCGCTCTGTATAATGGGCTCCAGTTTCATCCATCTCATTAGAACTGATTCAAATGAATTCTTTTTAATGGCTGAGTAATATTCCATGGTGTATATGTACCACAGCTTCCTCATCCATTCGTCTGCTGATGGGCATCTAGGTTGCTTCCATGTCCTGGCTATTATAAACAGTGCTGCGATGAACATTGGGGTGCACGTGTCTCTTTCAGATCTGGTTTCCTCGGTGTGTATGCCCAGAAGTGGGATTGCTGGGGCATATGGCAGTTCTATTTCCAGCTTTTTAAGGAATCTCCACACTGTTTTCCATAGTGGCTGTACTAATTTGCATTCCCACCAACAGTGTAAGAGGGTTCCCTTTTCTCCACACCCTCTCCAGCATTTATTGCTTGTAGACTTTTGGATAGCAGCCATCCTGACTGGCATGTAATGGTACCTCATTGTGGTTTTGATTTGCATTTCTCTGATAATGAGTGATGTTGAGCATCTTTTCATGTGTTTTTTTTGCCATCTGTATGTCTTCCTTGGAGAAATGTCTGTTTAGTTCTTTGGCCCATTTTTTGATTGGGTCATTTATTTTTCTGGAGTTGAGCTGGAGGAGTTGCTTGTATATTTTTGAGATTAATCTGTTGTCTGTTGCTTCATTTGCTATTATTTTCTCCCAATCTGAGGGCTGTCTTTTCACCTTGCTTATAGTTTCCTTTGTTGTGCAAAAGCTTTTAACTTTCATTAGGTCCCATTTGTTTATTTTTGCTTTTGTTTCTAAAATTCTGGGATGTGGGTCATAGAGGACCCTGCTGTGATTTATGTCGGAGAGTGTTTTGCCTATGTTCTCCTCTAGGAGTTTCATAGTTTCTGGTCTTACATTTAGATCTTTAATCCATTTTGAGTTTATTTTTGTGTATGGTGTTAGAAAGTGTCCTAGTTTCATTCTTTTACAGGTGGTTGACCAGTTTTCCCAGCACCACTTGTTAAAGAGGTTGTCTTTTTTCCATTGTATATCCTTGCCTCCTTTGTCAAAGATAAGGTGACCATAGGTTCGTGGATTTATCTCTGGGCTTTCTATTCTGTTCCATTGATCTATATTTCTGTCTTTGTGCCAGTACCATACTGTCTTGATGACTGTGGCTTTGTAGTATAGTCTGAAGTCAGGCAGGTTGATTCCTCCAGTTCCATTCTTTTTTCTCAAGGTTACTTCGGCTATTCGAGGTTTTTTGTATTTCCATACAAATTGTGAAATTATTTGTTCTAGTTCTGTGAAAAACACCATTGGTAGTTTGATAGGGATTGCACTGAATCTATAGATTGCTTTGGGTAGTATAGCCATTTTGACAATATTGATTCTTCCAATCCATGAACACGGTATATTTCTCCATCTGTTTGTGTCCTCTTTGATTTCTTTCATCAGTGTTTTATAGTTTTCTATGTATAAGTCTTTTGTTTCTTTAGGTAGATATACTCCTAAGTATTTTATTCTTTTTGTTGCAATGGTGAATGGTATTGTTTCCTTAATTTCTCTTTCTGTTTTCTCATTGTTAGTGTATAGGAATGCAAGAGATTTCTGTGTGTTAATTTTATATCCTGCAACTTTACTGTATTTGTTGATTAGCTCTAGTAATTTTCTGGTAGAGTCTTTAGGGTTTTCTATGTAGAGGATCATGTCATCTGCAAACAGAGAGAGTTTCACTTCTTCTTTTCCTATCTGGATTCCTTTTACTTCTTTTTCTGCCCTGATTGCTGTGGCCAACACTTCCAAAACTATGTTGAATAGTAGTGGTGAGAGTGGGCACCCTTGTCTTGTTCCTGATTTCAGGGGAAATGCTTTCAGTTTTTCACCATTGAGGGTGATGCTTGCTGTGGGTTTGTCATATATAGCTTTTATTATGTTGAGGTATGTTCCTTCTATTCCTGCTTTCTGGAGAGTTTTAATAAATGGATGTTGAATTTTGTCAAAGGCTTTTTCTGCATCTATTGAGATAATCATATGGTTTTTATCTTTCAATTTGTTAATGTGGTGTATTACATTGATTTGCAGATATTAAAGAATCCTTGCATTCCTGGGATAAAGCCCACTTGGTCATGGTGTATGATTTTTTTAATATGTTGTTGGATTCTGTTTGCTAGAATTTTGTTAAGGATTTTTGCATCTATGTTCATCAGTGATATTGGCCTGTAGTTTTCTTTTTTTGTGGCATCTTTGTCTGGTTTTGGAATTAGGGTGATGGTGGCCTCATAGAATGAGTTTGGAAGTTTACCTTCTTCTGCAATTTTCTGGAAGAGTTTGAGTAAGATAGGTGTTAGCTCTTCTCTAAATTTTTGGTAGAATTCAGCTGTGAAGCCATCTGGTCCTGGGCTTTTGTTTGCTGGAAGATTTCTGATTACAGTTTCGATTTCCTTGCTTGTGATGGGTTTGTTAAGATCTTCTATTTCTTCCTGGTTCAGTTTTGGAAAGTTATACTTCTCTAAGAACTTGTCCATTTCTTCCAAGTTGTCCATTTTATTGGCATAGAGCTGCTGGTACTAGTCTCTTATGATCCTTTGTATTTCAGTGTTGTCTGTTGTGATCTCTCCATTTTTGTTTCTAATTTTGTTAATTTGGTTCTTCTCCCTTTGCTTCTTAATGAGTCTTGCTAATGGTTTGTCAATTTTGTTTATTTTTTCAAAAATCCAGTTTTTAGCTTTGTTGATTTTTGCTATGGTCTCTTTAGTTTCTTTTGCATTTATTTCTCCCCTAATTTTTAAGATTTCTTTCCTTCTACTAACCCTGGGGTTCTTCATTTCTTCCTTCTTAAAATTCTTATACATTTCATGCTTCATACAGCAGACATACAACAGAACCTGTATGTGTTGTCTGTGCAATTAGGGGAGAACAGTCACTTGAGTTTGACACTGTGGGCAGCCATCTCTCTGTGGACAAACCTCTCCTAACTTCCTTTCCTTCCCGAGATGGTACCTGTGATGAGTCCTTCAAGTGGTATCTCTCTCTATGTGGTCGGGGACTCCTGCAGGTGCCCTGCACCTTCCGGGTCCACAGAGCTAAACCGTTTTGTTTACTAGGGGGGTAGCAGTCTTCTTCTGTCCTCTGAGTGCACAACGGAGTGTCCTGGAGGCTGCGTGACATGTGGTCAGATGTCAAGTGTGTGCTTGTAAAAATCCTGTTTTCATTTTGAATATGGTAAAATGGATAGGTACAACCCACAAAAATCAAAGTTCTCAACTTTTAGAGAAAAAAAAAAAAGGTTGATATTCCTTCAACAGAGGAGATTTTTCTCTGGCTGTGGAAATTTCTCCTGTCTCTCTTCTCACCCCGGGCCCTCCGAGATAGGCAGTGACCCAGGTCGGCTGGTTAAGTTACTCTTGCTCCTGCGTGCGCTCGGCGGCCCCTGCTGGCGATGCTTGGGTATTGCAGGGCCCTGGAAAGAGGTCTGGGTCTTACCAGGTAGACCCCTCCGGTCCCGGGGCTGGTAATTCAGCTGGTGATACGGTTTATACATAAGCCACTGTCGCAATTGAAGTCAGCAGTTTGTTAGGTGAGATTAAATTTTCAAAATCTCTTCGGCTTTTCAGGAAAGTAGATTTCATTTGTGAAAGATGAAGTTTTTTTTTGTCTCATGAAAGACACTCTCAGCGATGATCACATCCAAAGACGAACTGAAAGACCAAACCTGCTGCTGAGGCTAATGAACAGTCAGCCTTACCAGTGGAGCTAACTGCTCCTGTCCATGGGGACACTCCTGAAGTGTCCCCATGCAATGCTTCAGTGTTCCTGGACATTTGAAGCGCCTGCCGGGGCCCTCTGTAATCCCCTGCATAATTCTGAGGCACAGGACACTGCTCAAGGGAAACTTATCTTGATGTTTCTGTGTTCTTAGAAATTGGGAGTCAGATTTGAATAGAAAAAGCAGGACTGACAAGTAACCCTGATGCATAAGAAATTATTTTTCCCTGTTTCAGTTTGATGTCATCTGGTAATTCACTTTGCTTTCAATCTTCTTAATGAAACAGGAGATTTCCTCTGGAAGAGATCCCAATGGATGAGAAGGGAGCAGCTCAGTGGCTTCATAAACTGTACCAGGAGAAGGTAAAGGCGCCCAGCCCCCCCCCCCCCCCGCCCCCGACATCCACTCCACCCCTACCCCTGGGGTCTCACAGAGGTTCCCCAGGGGAGCTAACAGGGCAGGCAGGTAGCACGTTGACTGCCTCTAGAGACAGGGGTGCTGTGCCCCTCTCAAATTCTTCTTTCCAGTTCCTTTCTGTGTCTTTCATTTTTCCTTTTAAGAAATTAACAAACTAGAGAAAAGTGTACTGGGTATCACAATGCTTGTAGAACCATTGCCGATAATATATTATCACATTTGTTTCATTTTTTGTGTGTAAAAGAAATTGTAGGTATGCAACACACATTATATGTGTGTGTATACATATGATTTAATATGTAACAGACACAGTATAAATGACATGACGGTCTTCTTAGTGACCCCACCCAGTCCCTCCTCCATTCCGCTGACATGTCTCAGTCCTGACTCTTCGGTTTGTTTTATACACACAAATATACAGGGGACTGGCTTCTCATCTTCAGCAACAGAGAGGCTCAGATAATCAGAAAGACCTTCTAGTATAAAACACATACTCTTTTACAAGGGTTTTAACCAAATGACAGGTGGCGCAAGGGTAAAGAGTCCACCTGCCAATGCAAGGGACACAGGTTCGATCCCTGGGTTGGGAAGATCCCCTGGAGTAGGAAATGCAGCCCACTCAAGTATTCTTGCCTGGAGAATCCCATGGACAGAGCAGCCTGGTGGGTTCATGGTGTCGCGAAGAGTCAGACCGGACTGAGCACGCAGGCAGCAGCAACCAAGTAATGTGTAGCATATAAATCTTAAGAGGAATTCAAGCAAACTTCTAAAATTAAACAAATAAAATGCATATCCTTTTAAACACTGACAAGTGCTAAAAAAAAAAAAATAGTAAGGGATCTCTCTCAGGAGCAAAAGAGGAGGTGGGACTGGGAGTCAGCTGGGAAGGCTGTGAGTTGAAGCTCGTGGAGTCTGTTAGTCCGCCCACCCTGTGGTCTTGAGTTTTGGTACCTACATGCAAACAAAAGACATGGACTTGACCTCACTCGGGGCTGGAAGTTAGAACTGAAGACCCTAATGAAGCTGGGACCCTGTTGGAATTTTTATCCTCATGGAGGCTAAACTGGAAAATGTACGTGCCAGCACAGGGAGTGACTTTGAAGCTTACCTTTCCCCTCTGAGTCTTGAAACATCTCCCTGGTGCTTCATAATCGCAGCACCGTCCTTAAACAGGTGGGGGGTTGACATTATACTAATACAACATAGTTCAAGAACAAAATCAAAATATCAGCATAAAAAAGTGGTTCCAGGTGAATCTCTGTAGAGTCCCTGAAAGAAGCACATGTAAAGCTAGAAGAGCATGACTCCAGACTCAGCGGCCGAGACTTCTGCTGGAGACGTGCTCGTAACCAAGACCCACCATGGGCGAGCACGTCAAGCAGACAGAAAATTAAACCCTCCCGAAACTTCAGCTGTGGAACTACTATTAAGCAGAGACTCAAAGCCGTTTACTTGAAATGACTAAGCAAAAAAAAAGGGGGATTGAGGACTTCCCTGGTGGTCCAGCAGGGATGAATCCGCCTGCCAATGCAGGGGTCATGAGTTCAATCCCTGGCCCTAAAGATTCCACATGCCTTGGGGCCACTATGCCCATGTGCCACTGCTGAGCTCATGTGCCACAACTGCTGAAGCCTGTGCACCCTAGAGCCCGTGTTCTGCAATGAGAGAAGCCACCGCAATGAGAAGCCAGCACACCACAACCAGAGAGTCGCCCCTACTCACCACAACTAGAGAAAGACCATGTGCAACAACAAAGACCCAGCACAGCCAAAAATAAAAATTAACAAATATTTTTTTAAAAGAAGAAGGGATTGAAAACAAAAGAATGAGACCTGTTAAAAATGGAACAGATTTGAAGAAAAACCAAGTAAGATATACAGGCATGAGAAATCTAGTAATTGACAGTAAAATCTTAGTTAACAGATTAGATAGAAGATTTGATACAGCTGAAGAGAGAATTAGAAGCTGGAATCAAGACTGCTGGGAGAATTATCAACAACCCAGATATGCAGATACCACCACTCTCATGGCAGAAAGTGAAAAGGGACTTAAAGAGCCTCTTGATGAAAGTGAAAGAGGAGAGTGAAAAAGCTGGTTTGAAATTCAACATTCAAAAAATTAAGATCATGGCATTTGGTCCCATCAGTTCATAGCATATAGGAGAGGGAAAAGTGGAAGCAGTGACAGATTTTATTTTCTTGGGCTCTCAAATCACTGCGGATGGTGACTGCAGCCATGAAATTAAAAGATGCTTGCTCCTTGAAAAGAAGGCTAAGATAAACCTAGACAGTGCAGAGACATTTCTTGGCCGACAAAGGTCCATATAGTCAAAGCTACGGTTTTTCCAGTAGTCATGTAAGGATGTGAAAGTCGGACCATAAAGAAGGCTGAGCACTGAAGAACTGATACTTTCGAGTTGTGGTGCTGCAGAAGACCCTTGAAGAGTTCCTTGGACTGCAAGGAGATCAAACCAATCAATCCTAAAGGAAATCAGTCCTGACTCTTCACTGGAAGGACTGATGCTGAAGCTGAAACTCCCATACTTTGGCCACCTGCTTCGAAGAGCCAACTCAATGGAAAAGACCCTGATGCTGGGAAAGACTGAAGACAAAAGGAGAAGAGGGTGGCAGAGGATGAGATGGCTAGATAGTACTACTGACTCAATGGACATGAGAGAAAACTCCAGGAGATAGTGAGGGACAGAGAAACTTGGTATGCTGCAGTCCGTGAGGTCCCAAAGAGTTGAATACAACTTAGCAACTAAACAACAACAAAGGTTTTGAGGAAATTACTCAGTATGTAGCACAGAGGAAGTGAAAACATAAAAGGAAAGTTAAAGGATCCAGAGGCTAAACAGATGTCCAGAATGTAGCAATTAGACCATCCAGAGGATAAGGCGGGAAGAATGATGAAGAACAGTTGTCAGGGATAACCATAAAACTTCCAGAGTTGAAGAACACGGGTTTCATCAGGTTCAAGAAACACAAGTCAGGGCTGGGATAGATAAAAAGAATGTATGTACATACATATGTGTACACATGCACACAAACATACATTACAGAAACACACGAAATGGAATAAACAGAGAACAAAGAAAATAATAACAGCATAAACTATTTAAGCAGAAAACAAAGCTACAAAAGAGGAATCCAGTGCACCAAAAGATTTTCTTTAAACATATTAATAAAATGGAAAACCTTGAGCAAGGCTTACCAGTTAAAAGAGAGAAGGAATACGGTATGTGTGCATCCCGTGGTGGATGGGCAGAAAGACGTGTGCACGAGGGTGCAAAGGAGAGCGTGTCTCTGGATCAGGGTTAGTTTTTAAAAGTTGGAACCTCTTACAAAGAGTGACATCTCCCAGCAACACTATTTGCTTATTTAGCAGGAAGTGGGAAATAACCTAAAAGTGCATTATTAGAAAATAGATACATGATGTATGTTGAATGAGCTGCATGCATATTCTCGGTCTAACTGAATCTTGAGAAGGTAGGTGTATGAAAAGCAGACTGCGGTAGGCGTGTGGTGTGATGCTACTCACAGAAAAGCAGACAGCGCCGGAGCGGCCCCAGACATTGTCGTAGAGGTGCCAGTGCGTGGGGTGCAGGCATCAACCCTCCTGGGGAAGGAGACCACACTGGCCTTCGGGTGTGTGAGGAATGGGACACAGGTCGGGACACAGACTGCCTCCGTCTGCATCATCTGCTTAGGGGCAGGCGGGCAGAGTGGAGCGGGCTGAACCAACGGGCTTGAAAACGTTCTAGAACCCCACGGGAAGGGCCCTCGGGGTGGGGGGCATGTGTGGGCACCCTGAGGTGTCCTCATAGATGTAAGGGTCACAGCTGCTCCTGACCTCTCAGGCCTCTAGCACCCGCCCCATGCCCCTTGGGTTGGCAGGGGCAGCTGGTGTCTGACCGCACACTGGAAGAGGCTGTGACACTGCATATTTGTCAAGATCCCCGCCCTGTTTTTCACGTGCTGCCAAACACAGCTGAAGAAGCTAAATGCAGAAAATAAAACAGAAAAAGGTGAGAAGAGGTGAGACCCAGGCCCATGAGGTGATTAAGATCCTGTGGGTGTTCATCTTTCCAGACTTGGTCCCAGACACACGCCTCGTCATACATATTTTTATTTATATGGAATTGTATGGCACTTAGGTTCTTTAGAAAACTCAGACTATCGTGAGTGTATCTCCCTGCTGGCACGTGGCGTGTCATAGCTACAGAGAAGTCTATCTCAGCATCTCGGCTGCTCAGTCAGGCAGCTGCCACTCTGGGTGTTTAGTGTGGCCCTGTTTCCCTGTTGAGGATGCTTTCACGTCCTCACCTGCTCCTCTGTCCTGCCATCATTAGCCACCAGGACACGGAGGAAGGAGAGGTTAAGCAGCTTTCTGTGTGTGACCCAGCTGGCAGGCCATGGACTTCCAGCAGCAGTGGCTGCCACCCTTGCTCTGGAGGTGTCGCTAGAGATGGTGCAGGGCCCGGCAGATGCTGTAGTCCTGGGGCTTGGAGGTGCCTTTTGTGCGCCAGGCACTGGCTGATCATTTCCCTAGGAGGAAACTTGCCTGATCGAAGGGTTTATGTTTTTCAAGTTTTTGATATAAGCCAACCACAGATGAAGATGTCATGTCAGCTTCATCCCGTGGCCCATGTCATGTGGTCCATCCACTTTATGTATAGGTCGAGTCATTTCTTGCTTTGGGGTTATGACAACAGCACATGTAGGCCACTGTTCCGGTTGACTCTTTCAGGATGCGCTGCAGGAGACATATAACCAGAAGGGTGTGTTCCCGGGGCAGCAGTTCAAACCCACTCGCCGGCCATGGACGCTTCTCAACTTCCTCTTCTGGGCCACGCTCCTCTTGTCTCCTCTCTTCAGTTTTGTCTTGGGCGTCTTTGCCAGTGGATCCCCCCTCCTGATCCTGACGTTCCTGGGGTTTGTCGGGGCAGGTAATGAAGGGGAGTGATGGCGCGACTCAAGGGTGGGAGCCTTCCGTGTGCTGGTGGCCATGCCCAGGCCTGGAGCCGGTCACCCGGCAGCCGGGATCGGGCCGAGCTTTGCCAGCCTCAGACAGCAGCTCTGACCACTGAGCCACGGGGCCGTGACGATGTCCACCAGATTCCAGGGCCATCTCTCCAGAAAGCTGGCCAGCCGGCCTGCCACCTGCCTGGCATCTCGGGCGGAGAGCTGTGTGGGGAGGGTCCTGGCCACTGGGTCTGCACATGGGCGGTTGGGGGCGTGGGCTGGCATGCTGGGCTGAGGTTCCCCAGGACACTGCTGTTGCTCGCGCTGTAGCAGGTGCACGGACACTAAGCGTCGGGCACTGCAGCCCCACAGCCCTGGCTGAGAACTGCAGCCCTCAATGGGCCCACACCTCCCGCTGCTCCCTGCTATGCAACCCCCAGGCTGACTGGGTGGGAGAAGGGCAGAGAACCCGCCCCTCACCCCCAGGAAAGTCTGAGGTCAAAGGCAGGCCCCCCCATAATGACTTTCCCGGCTTGATGGCAAGGCGATCAGCTAACCTAGCCTTTTTCCTGTTTTAAAGCTTCCTTTGGAGTCCGCCGACTAATAGGAGTGACTGAAATAGAAAAAGGCTCCAGCTATGGAAACCAAGAATTTAAGAAAAAGGAGTAATTAATGGCTGTGATTGAACACACATAACCTGACGGTGGTATCCAATTAACTCAATTAAAAACAGAACAACACACCTAGAGCGGGGGAAAAAAAGACACTTAGAAACTATTTTTCTTATTAACTGGTGACTAATATTGACCAATAAAACTTGAGCCAAGAGTAAAGCGGTCAGCAGGCCTGCAGATGGAGACGCCAGCCTCGCCCCTGCGCAGGAGAGCCGGACTGGGTGCCTGTCCTGGGGGGCGGCCGCTCCCGCCCCCGGAATATGGGGGCGTACCCGGCCCGAGGGAGGCTTTGGAAACGTTCTCTTCTCGCGCTTAGATCCCGTTTTCGGTTTTTATCAATTTTCTTGGGAATTTCCCCTGCCCCTCGCCACGTCCCCTGCACCCCCTGCGGACTCTCTACCCTGCTCCCGCTGAGAACTGTGTGCCTGGGTTCCCAGGCCCCCAGAGCACCTACTGGCCTCCACCAGCCCGCACCCGGCCTCCGGGCGAGGAACGTGGCCTGGCAAAAAGCACAGTGGGCGGGGCTGCGGCGGGACACGCCCCCTCCCCCGGAGCGCCTCCCTGAGCCTGCCTGCTGACACCTCGAATCCGTTTGAAAGCGAGTGGAGCCAGAGAAAACGCGGCGGGTTGTCGAATTCTGCCCCTGCCCGGAGCTTAGCTCCTCTGTCCCCCTCGCTCCTGGCGGACAGCGGCCTTTCATCCCGCCGGGGGCAGGGCTGCAGGGGGCCGGCCCCCCAGTCCCAGCAGGGCCGGTGCGCCAGGGGCGCTATGTGCTGGGGAGACCTCCGCCGCAGGGCTGGCAGATGCTTTGAAAAGGTGGTGTCACCATCACCCTGTCTTCTAAAGGTGGTTGGAGGCTGTTAATATGGAGCTTTTCAGAGGTTTTGTTTTCACAGTTGACCTGATAGAAGCCAGAGGTGGGGAGCCTTCCCCACTCCGCCACCTCCCTTCCAAGCAGTGCTTGCGTCCTGGAGGATGCTGGCCTCTGGGGGAGGCAGCGGAGTCCCTAGTGTCCGGGCAGCATCCCCTCCAGCCTGCAGTCACGGGGAGGTGTTTCGTGCACTCTCAGGCCTCTTGGCCTAGCCAGGCTGGAAGCCTTGGGGTTGCCCGGCAGGGTGGGCCTGGGCCGCTGCTCCAGCTCTGCCACATCATTCGGCCACAAGCCTGCATCCGACTATCTTCTTAAACTTTCAACTTGCTTTTTTAAAGTCACACTCCCCTCATCTTTTTTAGCAAGGGAAAGAAAAATAATGGGTGTTATCTCTGCTGTCCTGTAACCAGCATTCAGAATAGAGGCAGGTTGAATTTTCTGGGGGGGGAGGGGAATGAAAGAAAGAGGCATGGGCAAAATTATAAACCAAATTGGAAAAAATAATTATGCATTGGCCCTAAGTCTGAATTTTGGGGAGACCTGTGGAAACAGCAGATTGCCTTTGCAGTGACACTACTGAATTCTGCATTGGTGACCTTGGTGATGGCCCCAAGGTCGCAGGGACAGGACCCGCAGCTCTGCTCGTTCGCAGTGACTGTAAAGGCACGCACATCCTCTCGAGGCTGGGCGCTGAGACTGTGTGGAGGCCAGCTGCCCTCTGCCACAAAGCTCGCCTCCCGCTTCCCTGCAGGCGTGGAGCCTGGCACGCAGTAGGGCCACTTCCACTGGGGTGAGCGGCTCCCTTACATCTTGTTTTTCTTCACACAACATGCTGCTCACCTGTGTGTGTGTGTGTTTGTGTGTGTGTCATTTGCTAATCCACTCATCCCTGAAGAGCTTAAAGGAAGGTTGAAGGGCACTACTGTGAAGTGCAAATTTAGATCTTTCACCATTTAATTAATAGCTCTTGCTTCCCAGCTAAGTTCCCTCCCCTTGAAATTGATACACAATATGTAAATTCTATACTGAGTCAGTAACCAGCTGTGAAGACTCCTGGGTGAATGGAGATTGAGACCACATGTAGGTTTTAAATCTCAGTGACTTCTTTCTGATTTAACGAAGATTAGCTTGTGCATTTGAATACCAAGCCCTCTGAGAGCAATAAAAATTACACCATAAATGTTTGCTTTTTTTTTTTTTCTTTTTCTGGAGGGGTGGATCCTGCTTTTCACCCACTTCAGAGGGAAAAGGGGGAGGCTCCTTTAGTTTTTTTAAATTAATAAATCTCAGAACAGTGCTTTTCTTATTTCTTTTCCTTTACCCCCTTTGTTTTTCCTTTACCCCCAAAATCAGGCTGAATGTTGGGACTGTCCTCCTGGTCACTACCAGGGAGGGTGCACTCTAGATGCAACACACTAGGCCCCAAGTCGGGCCGGGCGGGGCCAGGAACCCTTGGTGTTGGCTGACCACTCTGCCGGGGGAGGGGTCTGCTGAGCCTCTCTGCAAGGAAGGGGTCTGCTGAGCCTCTGGGGGTATAGCTTTGTTGCTGCAGCAGCTTCCAGAGCCAGCCCCACTCCCACTGGAGACACAGAAGGCAGCAGCTCCAGGCCTTGGGTCCCTCCCACGGGTGCCGGATGAAGGCCGAGTCCTGAGTCCAGGCCGCTGGATGGTGTATTTCTCAGCTCAGGCCCCGGTGCTGTATCTTCTGTCGCTGACACACGTGTGCTGGTGCCGCCTGGCAAGTAGAGTCTGGGTCCTGGGCCCTCCTTTCATGTCCAGCAGTCCCTCTGGGGGGTTCCAGGGGCTTCTAGGGTGCCTGCGCCAGTGTGGCCCTGTGACAGCCCTGGAACAGGTGAGCAGACGCCAGGGAAAGGCTTACCTGCTCAGGGGAGACCACTGACAGGGTTTTTAACCCCAAAGAAGTGACCCTGGTCATCGGCTCCTTGGTGACAGCGTGCTGGATGCACAGCCCTGTCTGAGCCACAGCCCCCCCACCCCCACCCCGAGAAGCAGAGTCAGATTGAAGAGATGGTCTCTGTATGAACTGCTCAGTAATGACTTGGATCAGCGGCATGAGTAGTACTTGCCTGTAAAGGTGACGCAGGCATGTCCGCCTGCTGGGGCCATTTGGAATCTCCACCTCGTTCGCCCGGTCACCCCCCACCCCTGTGTGCACCATAGCACGAGCTCTTTCTCACTCTAACTCAGTTGCTGAGCACCGACGTCCACCTCCAGAAGCATGGTGCATGCAGTTACGTGCAGGTCAGGAGCTGTCTCCAAGCGGTTCACACCCATGTGACCCCTGTTCGTATCAGATTTGAAGTGAAGAACAAGTCCCTCTCTGCACGTTGCTTTGTCTCTGCCTGAGATACCTAGAGACAAGCCACATAAATCTTCGGAGCCCGACCGATTTTCAGCTGAGCTGACTGACCCTTGTGTAACGTGTGCTGTGAATTTCTCACCACAGCTGCATGCAACCCTGGCATGCAACATGGCAGGCAGTGGCGCCATGCGGTTTCCAACCCCTGGCAGTGTAACCAGGCTTAGGGGTTAAAACTGTCAGCCCAACATGCCCACCTGCTTCCCTCTGAAGACGGCATGTACCCCCTCCACGTGCCTGCCCCTCTCTAGCAAGATAGCTCCCAGGCAAAGGCAAGCCTTTCCCCAGTGCCGTTGGGGCCAGCCACACCCCTGACACCCCCAGACTTGTCCTGGGCTGTGAGTGGTGCTGCAGGCAGGCAGACTTTCCTGTGGGTTCCGCATTCTTGCATGTCAGGGCCAGGACACAAATACGCTGGAACCTTTTTTGGGTAGGTGATGTCACACTGCATTCTGCTTGATGCAGGGGTGGACATGCATGAATTGAGTTCACCCCCAGCACTGGCCACGAGCTGATTCAGTGCAAAGGAGGTATTCCCACAAACACCCGGGAAGGAAATAAGAGCCCTCGGGGGAACCCAGGAACTCAGGGCAGTTGACTCCAGTCAGGCTGGCGGCAGCCACACCCTCCTTTCAAAGACAATTGAATTGCTTTAAAATTTGAAGCTTTGTGATGACAAGTTCACTTGGAGTTTTCTTTTCCTATAAACTTTTCAGTTTCTTAACTTTTTGTTTGCAAAGTATTTTGGACAGAAGTTGAACTGTGAATGAGATACTGAAATGCACTACATTGTATTAAACTGGAGTTACTTGATGCCATGAAGAAATGCATCTGATCTACTTGTATTTATTGTCTCAGAATTGTATGTGGTGACAATCAAATGTTCCTTGCCTACATACCAGGAAATTCAACTGGCTTCTGAATCGTCATGATCGTCAGCAAGTACTGTAACTGTAAATGAAAATTTCTCTCTTTGGAAAACAACACGAACCATCGACCAAAATGTGTGGGACAGATGTCGGCGTTCTTTTTTCCATTATTGATCCTCTGCCGTACCTGACCGCTGGCCAGCTTCAAAGGGTGATAAATTGTATACAGGGTGCAAATGTATTATATGGATGCTTCTTTTGTACACTTCGTTTTTACAATTTTGCTACAGCTTTGTGTAGTGGAGGAGAGCAGTATTTTTGGTCTCTGGGAGCCTGTTGGGGGTGGGGGGTGGGGGTGGGAGCTAACTTGGACTCTAAATGCCTGTATCCCACGAAAACTGGCTGCACGTGCCGTGTGCTGGAAAGGTCGCTTTGTACTCGGGTGTGCTCCAGCCTGCCTGAGTAGCGGTATTTTCTGGATAGAATGCTGTGGGCGTCATACTTGTTTATTAAAACTGCTGCTGTGAAAGAGAGGGATAAAATATCCACTATGAGACGGTGACTGCCTGCCTCCTCCTGGCCCTGTGCTGCTGGCCCGCGGAGGTTTTCCCTGGGCACTTCCTGGCCCTTGGGTTCCCCGCCTGCAGGCACCCTGAGGCTTGGACTGTTTCTCGAGACCGTCCTGTGATGACACTCTCTGAGCCTCCCCATCTCGTGAAAGTTGCTTTCGGAAGGGAACTCAAGCAGAGCGATGGTCAGGCGAAAGCAAGGCAGAAAGATCAGCTGGTGCCTAAAGCATGCTCACTGACCCCTCTGCCTAAAAACCAGTCTGAAAAGCCATCTAGGACAAAAGGGTTTCCAAAGTAGGCATGTAT